ATACGACTTTCCGTCATGACAGTAGCTGATTAAATAGTATTTACTCATTGTGCCATTTTTACAGCCAAAATGTCGTTTTATTTTCAATAATGTTACCAAACCAGTGGGCCACGGTCCGTAATATAGGCCACAGTAAATAATTTGTCAATATAGGTACCATTTTAGGCAAGGTTTCTGTGTTTGGATGTTATTAGAAACGGCAAGAGCACAATAAAATTCTACTGCGGATGAATTTTCTGTTGGAGAAATATAAGCCGAGTTATAAATGTCACAATGCGAGTTTGAGCATTTTGTAACTATATTATATGGGTAAGTTACATAGATTTTTAGGCTGCTCAGTGCACTTTAAGAATATATAGTTTAGAGATAAATTAAATGGTTTTTGTTGCCGAGTAGCGCTAGTAAACAAGCACAACCCTTCTCGTTAGTCTAATAACATTCAAAGGCTCTCTAAGAGTTCAAGTTCTTATTTATATACATATCTATACATTATTATGTTTTCCCTGCTGAATGAATACATCGAAGTAACCTCTCTGAAAAGTCTGCAGTATATTGCAGTTTACCAGCTTAATGACTTTCTAAATCATGCTCATATTTCTACATAAATATTGTAAAATGTTTTATCCAGTTGCTGTAAACCACGATTAATTTAACAAAATATGGACACGGCTCAAATGGGCACCGTGCTCTTCTGCGCTTGTATTATTTTGTATTGTATTACACCATGGAAGATTTTTCCAACGATTGAAAGCATGTTTGACAATAATCTCATGAACCCATGATGATATGTTTAGAATATTATGACAAACTATAGGAAAAAGGTGTGAAAAAGTCAGACACCAACCCGTGAATTAGATATAAGATAGTTCAATGAGAAATAATTGTCTATTTTGAAAAAAGGATTTTCCACTGATTTCGTAATGGGACGTTATATTTCAACACATGGCATGATACAGAAGAAAATCCAGTTTAAAATCAGAAAATAACATTGCAAATACTTCTTTTGGACTATTCAGTAACTCCCAATAAATGTGTGTTGTTTAAAATACAATTTTAAAATTAACAGCTGTTTTATTAAAAAGTATTATCCACATGACCAAAATGTAAACAAATCTGTGGAGGGATCTTTAAAGGCTTCTGGGACAGAGACCTAATCGAATTTACTTCGTTTTTCTTTTGATAACTCATCTACAGACCAAGACCTTTCTTTGGACACCTCTACCAAGTTTCTACGCCCAGCCGTTCTCTCAAATTAGTGGAGACAAAGTTTTCAATTAAATATTTAGATTTCCCATGTTAATCTTATGGGAGAAAATCCAACTTTGGTGGATGATCTTGTCCAAACTAATAAATATATCAAAAAACGAAAAAGACTTTGCAAAACTACGGATCAGGGCAATTATTTTGACACTTTAATCATAAAAATCGGTCCAAAAATGAGGGAGGAGTTCTGTTCACAAAAATCGGCTTAGCGTATTATATATATAGATAGAAGATTCCTTATGCATGTTTGCTGCTGATTACGGTGAAATATTGTTAGAAATTCCACCTAATCTTTAAAGTTACCCATTAAATTCATAGAAATAATAATATTTAACTGTTTGACGAGTACTGTATGTGGTTTACACACAAATATTCATCAAACTGTGTGATAGTTTGTTATAGCAATGAACAATTTGAGAGTATCGTATTGTTTAAGTCGATGGAAAATCTCTGTTGATCCTGTTTTACAAGCAAACCAAAAAGATACAGTAGTCACCACTCTATGCGACATATTCTAACCAGAAAATTGTAATCGTATGATTCTATAAGCACTGTTAGGATTGCAAAGTACTACACAAACATTATTTCAAGGGTAATAACAGTCACAATTTCCGCTGACTTTAAAAGAGTCAACTAAACTATTATACTAATGGACACACAACTAAATGGAACAACTAATGGAAATTCTCACGATGTACATATAACAAATCGTTCGATATAAGCATTGAGTATACACGTCGGTACATACGTGTATACCCAATGATATAAGCAACGGTTCTTGCAATTTATTGGTTATTGTTTTTTAGAGTTGTTTTCGGACTTACTCTGTTTTCGGACTTACTCACACTCGTATAAGGTTTTCCACGTTTGTCATTGATAATGTAGCCATGTTGCTTTGAAATGGCGACCATACAAAATGTATGCATTTTAAGCCAAGTATGAATGGAGATGAGTGTGGGATGAGTGGAGCGATCTTGTTGTCCTGTTTGTGACTAAGGCCGACATAATCCTTAGACACAGCTGTTAATTAATAGTGCATACAGTCAATTAATAGCAGCAGAGGTCTAGTTTGGTATCAAATTAAAGGTTTTATTCATAAAAATACATTGCCGCAAACCCAAACTCAAACGATGATGATGATGATAATAACGTTAATGATGTCGCTAAAACGTATCGTTTGAAATTTAACAGCTGAAAATAAGTGAAATAGAAAAGGTTTTGGTTAAATCCATCAAATTGTAATTGGACACTAGTAAATACTAGTGCATTTGTTGCTACCTCCCCCCTTCGGTTTCATGTATTCCTCTCAATCAGTTCAAACCTAGGAGGATTAAACATTAATGTTAATTAATGTTAAATCCTCCTAGATTCAAACCTGAAACACCCAGATCGAAACTTGCCTGTCGTTATTTTACCATCGCCTTTTTTTATATATTTTTCAAAAAAGAAATATTATATTGATTTACTTTGGATTTTAAAAATGTTAACGGTTTATTTTGTTAAAGATTTATGGTGATACGTAAATATTGTGGTGTAGTAAAGTATTATATTGTAGTTATATTGTAGTTAAGTGTTAAATTTTAAAATTTTAGGGTGAATCGAGATGAATCTTTGTTTATAACATGGGTCTCTCCTACCTTAACATACATACCAAGTTTCATAAACATCGGTTGGAAAAGTGCAAAGATAAATATTTGTATGTAAAAAATACAAAATGGTGGATATCTGGTTAACGAAACGATTTTGGAAAAAATGTTATCCTTGATTTTCTGTTTCTTTTGACCCAAGGAATTACTAGGTAAAGTATCTCCCCGCTTATTTTAACACCCTGTTTATGATGTATTCTTATAAGTGAAAAATGTAAGCTGGTAATACAGAAAGATGTTTTATAAATAATATGAATGTACTGGTAATCTGTATATTCATCTTTTTCTTGTCCTTAGAACTGTAAATTAAAAGTCCACTCAGCAGTCGCATCGTACGATGTAGTTCTTTCCATGCGTTGCGAAATGCTAAATTTGCCGTCCTCTTCAAACCAAGTTATCTATTGAACCACTGATTGTAAAAAATTCAAAAAATATATATATATTTTACGCATCACACTTTTGGCTACAACTTTGCCACGGACAAAATCTCTCTAACCCAAAAACAAAAAAAAATCTCGCATGCTAACTTTTTCATGTTAGAAATCACGATTTAAAACTATTTAACCATACAAATCAATTTTTAATAATTAGATCGGTAAATAGTTTAAAGTTCCAACAAAATAGTCATCGAGTAGGACTAACCAAGAAGCTCTGTGCCAAATTTCAAAATTTTAGCACAACTTTAAGTACACCAAAACACGAAATTATTGAAGTCATGCGTCGAGAGGACTATCGTTGTTTTTAACAGATTATACTTTTGACCTTCCGGCACTGTTGACTCAGCGAAACTGAACTTATATTTTATCTTATTTCGTTATATTAAAACTGCTGTTGCATTAGGTCAAATTCCCAATAAGTCAATTGCTTTAACATAGACTACGTTTTTAGCCCGGACTGTACTATTTGACTTACTGGGATTTTTGATCTACAGACACTGCAAACATTGTAGTTTTTGACCTAGCGGCACAGGTATAAATTATTTGACCTTCCGGGACTGTTGACTTTCTGCAACGCGTCCTTTAACATCCAGTGATACGCATCATACGATGGGCCGCAGAGGCGGTAATTGATGATGTTATCGGCCCAAAGCGTTGTTTCAACGTTGGCAGCAATGTTATAGAGCCATTAATTACGTCTATCGATGCGAACTTCGTAGCGAAAACGTGAAACTGATGGTCGCATTCAGCTGTGAAAAACTCAACAATCCAACTGTATCAGCTGTTTAAACGATGTAAATAGTTATAACTAGTGTTTTACCCGACGTCAATTTTTAATTACCTACTTTGTGAGGTGACTGTAGTTTTTGATGGAACATTTTGCAGAAATTAGGTGATTAATTTGACTATACTTTAATTTTTGATTCGTTAAAAATATGTGAACGTTGGCATATTCAACAAAAATAATAAATTTATAGTAACGCACTCCGTGGGTGGTTCAAGTTTTATTCCGAAACTTAGAGAAACATGAAAATTGCATGTTTACTACTACATGTTATTCTTTGACTGTAAATTACAGTCAAAGAATAACATGTTCTTTGATAATTTTTTAGTGTGACGGATTGCCTGTGAATATATCACATTTTATTTTGCCCGACTACCTACGCAATCAGGTATACTGCAGTACGGCCGTTTCGGAGATAACTCCATCTTCAGGTGCGTAGTGGTACACTAAACTATGGTCTTGTTGAAGACTTTTTGTGTTAAGTGTAACAAAACTATAAGTTTAGTGTACCACTACGCACCTGAAGATGGAGTTAAGTTATCTCCGAAACGTAGTGTAGTGTCACCCCTGATTGCGTGTAGACGGTAAGAACAAAAGACAGTATATTATTGTCTTCATTTATGTCTCCGAACTAATTGTTTCGTTTGATGCCTATTGATTTTTCTACTTTTCTTTTAATGTTTTAGTTTTGTAGTAATATTATTTTGCCAAAACTAGGTAAAACGAGTTTGTATACCATTTTGGTTTCATCCACACAATTTAAAGTATTTTTAAAAAATGGTTTTAATGGTTTACTTGGTTTTTGTTTATTCAATTCTTCAGTTAATTGTTTTGTTTGTTTAGTTATTTACCACATGATTTGTTTTGAAGGTTATTGGCGTAACTACAACTACGCTGAGCGTCAGTCCACTCGTCATTTTCGTGAGTTGTGTCAGTTTGCGCACGCGCACGAGCACACGCTCATTGTTGCAACTGTGACACAAACCAGACTAACATAGTTTGTAGCCTGTCTCGTTATCTAACTAACGCCAGCGCCACAGTTCTGGATCATGTTACTAACTTGCATCATGATTGGCTGGAGTTATTGAATGCTAACATTCGTGTGTGCTGTGTTGTATGATTCTAGCACATAGTTTGGCTAAGGTTAATTGATGATAGAATAGAGCTAAAATTAACTGGACGCCAATAGTAATTTTTTAACTTTTTTAAGGTTTCTGCCATGTTATATAATTATTATTGTTCTTGCTATGACGAATATTCAATTAATAACTTTGATATGGTGATCTGGCTAACTCTACATAATGACACAGCCAATAAAACGTACATTGCATTTTCTTGAATAATCTAACGTAGCAAAAAATATAGTGGATATTGTAGTGCTTTTTACAGAAGGAATATAAAATATTCGCGTTTGCATTTCGCACTTTTATCTAGTTTAATAGCTACGAACAATTTCGTGTTCGGAAAAGACATAACTGAACCACGAACATGTTAGTTGACAACATACATTTGTCAGGAAAAGGTCATGACTTGCACATGGTAGCCTGTGCATAAGTTGTCCTTCTTTATAGTGAAATAATAGTTTTTTCTCATAATCTGGCCACTGACTGAATTTTCAACAGCCTTCTGTGTGAGTATATATCTAAGAACAATTAGTATTCAACTAAAAGTTTTGTTGGGACACACAAGCGTAAAATTACTAATGTAGTAGTACAAATTAAGCATGGTTAAATAACGATTACAATCAATAAACCCAAGTTGCCTTCAGGCCAGATTAATCAAGTTAGCCGACCCTTACAACCTGAGAAGGCAATCATTTTTAACCAATCAATTGAAGCATGACAAAGTAATACGGATAGGGTCCCCTTCACTGTGTAGTCCGGGCATATTGCTCTATGCATATTTTCATACATTTACTAACAAACACAGTTTGGCGGGTTAATTTAAATCGTTTTCTGGATGAACGAAGCTCATTTCTATTTACATAGATTAAACCTGGGGAAACCGCTTCGAGGCGGTATTACCTAGTCTAGTGTTATGTAAAATGGAGGTAGTTTTTGGAGGGTGGGGATTAAAAGGCGAAAATTGATTCAAATTAGTTATGAGACACTACCCAACTATTTAGGCTTTATTTGTTTTTTTTTAAATTTTAAAGGTTTTTTATTCTAGTTCGAAATCAAGCTATCATTGGTTTCACTAGTAAGTTAATTTTTAAACTCACAGATTCGTTGCTTCTTGTTAGAAATTTTTTTGTAAAGTTTGATTCAAATTAATATACTTTAATTAACATTTCGAAAGTGTGGCTAACCGGTATTTGACGCGGTGTAAAGTTTGCATTGGATGTCAAATCATTTGACAATCTGCAGGTAGCCCGGGGTGGCGGAGATGGATTTTGTAATTTTACACAGAACTGTTCAGCCTCGAACTTCCGGTTCCGGTTGTCGTTGCCAGATATACCCCTCCCCCCTACCACTCACCCTTGGATCAATCCGCTGGTTAAAGGGTAGCGGTTAGGTAACCAAGATAGATTAGATAACCAAATAATATAAATTAATTTTGTTGAATACATAAATTTTATCAGGTTTAGGTTGTTAACTAGCTAGTAAACTAATATGTATTTCAAGGGGCCGTGAAATTTTTAAAATGAAAATCCACGGATGGAAACTGTTATAGGAACTGAGATAATGCAACACACCCCACTAGTTTTTTTACTGATCATTAAAAAATACAGTTTTTAACGAATTTCCCTATTATTTACTCATCACACCCAAACTAGAAGGATTAGAGCGTCAATAAAGTAAATCGAGTAATAATTTATCCCGTGAATCTTAAAATTGAATTTAAAACTCTTGGAATTTTGAAGATTAAACTTTCATTCTTTTTCACCCTCATTAATGAGAAAAATTCATTTTTAAGTATTTTTTCTGTCCTGAATGAAACATTTTTATCTTTAGATTGTTGCAACCGATCCTCATAAAAGTTGGAATGTATGTTAAGGTAGAGACGGCCTATTTGAGAAAGATTTTTAATATTTATCCAATTTAGAATGTTGACATAGCGGCCATTTTTTTTTAGATTTAAATTCCAAAAAAATGGCTTTTCAATTAATGTCCCTACCTTTTATGAACTCCCTGTACACCGGTAATGTAGTTGGCATCAAAAATAATGTAATCGTACGAAACAGTGTATACAACCATTGACTATAAAAGAAAAACAACCTACATCTCGACAGAGTTCAGATTTATTTATTGAATGATAAGTCTACTCACTGTATCCAAAGTCAATGCTAGTACCATAAATTAAAGTAGTAGACCTTAAATATATGCTAGTGCTTATTTCTTAGCAACTACAAATATGCATAGTTTATATGCATTGTTGCGCAATCTCAATCTCAGCGTCCACTTATTCAACGTACACAGACTAGGATATCTCCAACACCCAGAGGCAGACGAGACACAAGTTTGGCCAAGTTTGGCGCGGTTTAATCAAGCCCAGGTTTGCGATAAGCCATCCCAAACTTCGGTCCTTTTAATTAAACAGAGACGGACTTTACTTGACTTTTTACAGTACCATCTCGCTTTTTCTCGCTGTTTCTTAGTCTAGTTTTCTGTTTGTGATTTACAACTATATTCCTTGAGATTTTTGGCTTTTCCAGTGTTTATTTAGTGTACCTTTTTATTTAAAATAAATATCAGCAAAGGATTCGGAAGTATCTGGGTGATTGTTTTAAGTAGTTTATTTTACTAGTTTATTTTAGCTGGTAAATCGATTTTCTCATTAAAGCTGAAGTAGACTAGAGTGATATGTTTCGAATCCTCATTTTCCTAGTTTCTGCATTATTAGGCTTCCTTTTGTATTGAATCATACTTATTGATATGTTCGTAATCAATGATAAAGTGAAAAATATACATATTGTAGGGAAACGATCAGGTTAAGTTTCTAAAAATAATTGTCAAATAAAGGAATATAGACTAAGTAAAAATGTCACATGTAATCAACCAATTGTGTAATTACGTGATTTCTATGCAAAATGTAAAATATTTTAACACATAAACAAATAAAATTATTACTTCATCGTATATTCAAGTTAGTGTATAAAAATGTCCTCTCTAAGTAGTAGGACATTTTAAACATTGAAAACTCTCCTAAGTATGTGAATCATGAAGAGATAGTCAAGAGATATAGAGCGGGACTTCGGTCACCGAGATCCCACGTTCAAATCCCGCCTATCTCCAAATGCTTAGCAATGTGATCCTGGCGCGTCCTAGCTTAAAGTAATGTGTAAAACGGTTCTGGGCCGGAACCAAACGTCGTAGAATGTAAAGGTGAGTCATAAAATAACTAAATTAAAAAAAATCTATAGTTATAAAATGAAATCTTAATCTATAATCCGGTAGCAAAAATTATGTATAATCACTTCTGCATTATACAGGGTGTAAATTAAGTCTGGCACACATTTTTTATCTTTTTTTCTATAGTAGATAGAAGAAATCAATTTGCGGGAATGATTAATAACAAATGTTAGGCACTTTTTACAAATTTTGAAAATAAAAATTCCCTTAAGGGCAAGGGGGAGTGGGGGGTAACTAAAAATTTTCAAATGACAACACCCATCTTGTGACCCCTCATTTTAAAGGTCATTGGAAGACAAATCCAAAGATGTGTCTAAAAATTTTTTTTTGCACCCTATCCAAGATGGCGGTTTAAAATGTACTTAGGGTTGAATGGGTAAATTAGGTATGGCACACATTTCTTATCTTTTTTACTCTTTGTAGATAGAAGGAATTAATTTGCGGGACTGAGTAAGAACAAATGTTTGGCACTTTTTCATAATTTTGAAAAAAAATCCCCTTAAGGGTAAGTTGCGGGTGGGGGGTAACTAAAAATTTTCAAATGACAACCCCCATCTTGTGACCACTCATTTTCAAGGTATTTGGAAGACAAATTTAACGATGTGTCTGAAAAACTTTTTTTTGCATCCTGTCCAAGATGGCGGCTTTAAATGTGCTTGGGGTTAAACGGGTAGGGTCTGGAACACAATTTTATCTTTTTTGCCATTAATAGATAGAACTTATCCACTCGTGGGACTGAGCCAAAATTAGGCACCTTTTTATTTATTTGAAAAAATCCCCTAAGGGTAAGGGGGGGGGGGGTAACTATAAAAATTTTCAAATGACAACCCCCATCTTGTGACCTCTCATTTTAAAGGTATTTGGAAGAAAAATTTTACGAAATGTTTTTTTTGCATCCTGTCTAATATGGTGGCTTAAAATGTACTTAGCGTTGAACGGGTGAATTAAGTCTGGAACACCTGTTTTCCTTTATACTCTAATGTTTGATAGTGTAAAAATTGATTACCAATACAATAAAATAGAATACCAAATAATTACAATAAAATAGAATACCAAATAATTACAATAATACTACAACCCTACAACAACAAAAACACAATAGCAATCAAAATTAATAGAATTCCTAAACTAAATAATAAATGTAATTGCAATAATCAACTTTACGTACTTGTTAATATTCACAAATGCTCAAACTGATGCCCAAGAGAAACTTGACAGAGCCCCAACCGATTGTAAAATTCGTTTACCACCCTGGACAGCGTTTCTTCATTAATAGATCGTGCTTCCATTATTATTCTTGCTGTGAGATCCTGGATGTTTTCTGGGCGGTTAACAAATACTCTACTTTTTAGGTGGCCCCACAAAAAGTAGTCTAACGGCGTCAAGTCGGGTGATCTGGCAGGCCATTCAATAGCTCCCCGCCTCCCTATCCAACGATCTGGAAAAACTTCGTCCAAGTAATTTCGGACTTCAGCATTATAGTGAGGTGGTGCGCCATCTTGCTGAAACCAAATGTTCTCGTTGACAACATCTTCCGGAGGAAACTCATGGGCAATGGCAGGTACTCTC